AGTGATTTTATAACATACTTATGTTATATTTTTTTATAAAAAAATTATATATATATATATATATATATATATATATATATATATATGTGTGTGTGTGTGTGTGTGTGTGAAAAATATAGAAAATAGGAAGGAATTGGTCAAGTAAATAATCCAAAGTTCCTTAGTATTTTAGTTATTATTTAAAAACAGTAGTGCTCGATACAAAAGCAGAGCATTGGAATCATATTTTTAAATAATTATATATATATATATATATATATATATATATATATATATATATGTTATATAAATATGTGTATATATTAAGAAGGCCAAACAATATAAAAGACAGAGGGTTGATAGGGTGTGGGTAAATTTAGAAAAAAATTATGGGGACAGGAATCATTATCACAGGGTTACTGAAGGCGAGAAAAAAGATATATATTTGAATTGATTTCTATTTATCTATCTATTTGTCCATATCTATAGATATATAGCTCCTGGAGACAGGTTCCTCAAGGAAAAAACAAAGAAAAAGAATCCCTATAAAAAATATTCCCGCAAATTTGTGTTTAGTAGTAACCGAAAATTAATTTTGGTTACTACTACAAACAAAAGACAATAGTTAAACATCGGAGAAAATAAAGAAAATTAATACTTTTTAATAATATGTAGAAATAACCAGGCATTGCCTGATTAAGGTCGCGAGACCGGAAACATGTGAAGCAAAAATATGTAAAATAAATTATAATATATATTAAAAAAATACACATTATAACCAAAAACAATTGCGGTTTCTCTCTTCTCTTTAAAATATACACTTTTCTCTCGTTGGAACAACTATAACTTCTCCCTCATATATATATATATATATATATATATATATATATATATATATATAGCAAAAGTAAAATACATAAAAAATGAACAACAAAAAGAGACATCGATGATTATTATTCGTATAGAGTATAGAGTAATATGATAGATAATCAAACAAAAGTTCTTTTTACCTCATGTGGGAAATAGGCTATTTCGGTAGACGATAAATGTGATCTTTTCAACCTTGATCGATATGTCCGGAATAAGATCAATGAAAATTTTGATCTTTTTACAACTGCATCGAAATATAAAAATAAAAACTTAACTCTGACTTGCTAATGTGTTATTTCAAAGCATTGTCTCACAATCGCCTAACACATTGGGCCTTATGTTATTACTTTGTCCAACGCTGCATATATACATATGCATAGATACACACACACACACACATATATATATATATATATATATATATATATATATATATATATATATATATATATAGAGAGAGAGAGAGAGAGAGAGATACATACATACATACATACATACATACATACATACATACATACATACATACATCCGTAAGTGGTCTGGACTATTTCAAAGTCTTATTGATATACACATATGAAAACGGTCAAATCGATGAAGAGAGCTCAGTGTATAACTTTATATACGGAGCAATATAAATAATTGTAAGAAAAATCATAAAGCATCATATAAATCATTTCAGCATATTATATATTTATTTATATATATATATATATATATATATATATATATATATATATATATATATATATATATATATATATATATATATATATATATATATATATATATATATATATATATATATATATATATATATATATATATGGTGACGAGACAAAGTAAAACCTTTATTATCGAGGCGTTTCCCCGGAGAGCGTATACCCACTTTGGCTTCCTCTGGTTAGAATGTAAAAAAATGTGTGTGAGGAGAATGCTATGTAGGATTCATAATTGAAATTAAATTACCTTAGCTTATCACCACCCAATTTCTCGGCTTAAGAAACTGCCTTTCGGTTAGTTTCTTGGCTTGTTTGATCTGCATATATGAATTAGGGCCGTTTGTTGGATTTTATATCAGTAATTGTTTTGTTCTTGTTACACATATATATTTGCAAACATGTGTACATACATACACACACGCCCAGTCACACAAGTATACTAGAGTCATTTTTTTATGTATACCTGTACATCTATATATAACACAGCATTAGGACAAGTCGATTTTGGAACCTTGTTATTACTCTCAGTAAAAAAAAAAATAGTGGTTGCAAATGATAAATAATGCCGCAAGATATCTTTTTCCAAATCATTACCGTTGTTTGAAGTTTCTAATTTGAATATTAAGTTCAGATTTAAAATGTTAACGTTGTAATTTAATTAAAGTTATCAGTGAAAGCCTTGTCACGCGGCCTTATAAAATTTACAGTTTGCTGAAAATTTACAAATTGTATATCGAAAAGATGCATGGCACAAAAACATTATTATTAAATCATTCTGCCATCAAATAAAAATATTTGCTACGAATGGAAATTATACTGAAAAAAATAGCGTTATTATGATGTAGTATGTTATTCACTGCAGTCGTTGTAATGTGATGTTCAATAAACTTTGCAAATTTAAAACATTTCGTCTTATAATTTGTGTAATTTATAGTTTTATAATCAATTTTATCTTTTGTTTTTATTATGATCTAACATATGGTCTAAGAGATGATTTGATAAATATTTTTGTAATTCTTTTAATTTTTTTACACAGTTTCTACTATTAAATAGAGTTAAAAAAAGCGTAATTTTCCTGTAGTGATTCGTCATTAGTATTCTGATTTGAGTATATTTTCCATTCAGTATATCAAATACAAAAGAGATCAAATATTTGGATTTATTCTTAAAATGTGTAAAAGTCTGCTTATAAGCAAAAACCTACAGAAATTATGTATTTCTCTAAATTTTAGACAAGATTTAAAATTGATTGAGCAATAATTTTAAAATCTACGAATCTAATTCTTGGAGGTAATACATATCACGTCAAACCCCAACTTTTCTTCGGAGTGCAATATCGATTTTTTAAACATAGTAAAAATCAACCTGTCCAATTTTGCAGGCATATATACGTACTAAGTTTCACTTTGAGGAACAGGCTTTAATGACGAATACATTATACTAATTACTAATCACTGACAAGGGTCGAATTTGAGTACACTATCCTACCTTAAATTTTTCAGGTTGGTAGCAGCATACACGGTGGTTTAAAGGAAAAATGCCGTTCTCCAACTTGGCAACGCAAGGTCACAAATTTTGTTCTATTCTGCACAAACAGACATATTCATCTGACCAGTCAATAACAAATTCGTTACAAAACGTTTTGATGGGGAAGATATTCTCTAGTGAAAATCGGATTCAATATTTCCTAATTTTACTCAAAAGATATCGAAGTGCTGCCTTATAAGTGACAACAAATCATTGCATTATGCAGCAATACGATTTCTCATGCATTCTAAGGAGATGAATAGATAGATTCTGTTTCCTTTTAACTGAATTTAAGAGGTTTTTTTTTTCATGAATCTTGTTCTCAGCCTATCTTTGAGTTACTTTAAAGACGAGGGTTTAGCAGAATCTTGATTCCAATCCACCTTTGTATTGTGGCACTGATTTTACATATCTGAAAAATTTGGGTCCTTTGAGAGATTGACAAAACCAAAATCGGTCTGGGTGGTCCTCCTTTTCGGTTGGTTGAAAATGCATGGACGGAAAGGGGTGGTAGGTTCACACACACAGTATCCCTATAATGAATCGGACACTGAGTGAAGAGCAGTCAGAGAAACAGCCATGTAGTGGGTGTGTAAGTGTTCGTTTTCCTTGGCCGCAACTTAGTGTGAAGTCAATCAGAGGAAGATCTTTTTCTCGTAACAGAAGTAAGACATTGCCGACTAAATGAGAAATATAATTTTCTAATTCCCGACCCAACAATTGTGTTGAAAAACCGGTAGTGTTTTTTTGACGGCAATGGCGGTCCTAATATTCATTATTGAAACGAATCTGTGGAACATAGCGAGCACCGGTGTATTCACATACAGCCAAACTTGGATGTCATCATAGTTGGTGCAGTGATGTGCAAAATTGCATTACCGCAATAGAATGGTGAAGCAACCACTTTATAAACAAACCTGAAAATTCTGACGCAACCTAATAATTTCTCTCGGATTTTATCCCTGTTGCATTCAAGACTAGCCAATTATTGATTTACTTTAAACACCAATGAAAATATCATAGATTTCCTATTTGAATTTTCTGTTGAATCTTAATTCTACAGTTAATGATTGAATAAGCACATGGCAAGTTCTACGACAATAAAATATATCCGTAGAAATTCACCTATCGAATTGGTAAATATTTGAACTTATCAACCTTAACGAAATATTATAAGAATCAAAAATGTCAATGCTGTTCGTTTATTTTAAGAAGGAGATACAAATAAAAAGGTAAGACAACTTTTCCATTTCACTGAAGCAGACGTTAAAAACTTTATCTTTTCTTCCTTTCTTTTTTTTATTTTCCAACTGAAATCGGTTAGCACCTTTGATATGTCTTATACGTTTTTCAATGTGATCAAAACAGAAAATTCCATCGTTTTTGATGAATTGGCAGGAAACAGTAAACACGTAAATCTTCCCTTTCTTTCATTGTTTTTGTATCACAGAAACCAAGAACCGTCTGCTATGTCTTTTCCATCTTTCCATGCGATCAAAACGGAATAGTCTATTAGTTATGAGAAATTTGACCAGACGTAACGGTCGTGCTAGCTACAAGGGAACCAAGGAGAATTAAATAAGCTTTTTATCCCTACTTCAATCGTTAGCCTTCGCAATTTGTTTTTATTTACTTATTTACTAGTGTTCTATTTCTTTATTTCAGAGACCGTTTGCTTGTTTTTTTTTTTTTTTTTAGGGTGGGCGTGATATAATTATTCTCTCGAATTTTCGGATATTCCATTGATACAGTGGTGGAATTTCTCTCTATAACTTCAATATCATCGTCATCGTCATCACCATCAACTTTTTTCTCATCGTTTTTCTATTTCTATACTTGATTATTTTGTTTTTACTTTTAAATTTTTCGTTTCATCTTTTTTTTATATATATATGTTCTCTTTAGTGATATCGTCATTTCTTATTTTCCTCTCGTTTCTCTTTGTCCCCTTCTTTTTACTTTCTTTCTTTCTTTCATTCATTCATTCTTTCTTTCTTTCTTTCCATCATTCGTCCTTTTTTTTTCGTCCTTTTTTTTTCGTCCTTTCTTTCGTCCTTTCTTTCTTTCGTCCTTTCTTTTTACGTTCTTTCTTTCTTTCGTCCTTTTTTTCTTTCGTCCTTTCTTTCTTTCGTCCTTTTTTTCTTTCGTCCTTTCGTTTTCCTTATTTCTTTCTTTCTTTCTTTTTCTTTCTTTCTTTCTTTCTTATTACGTTTTTTCTTTCTTTCTTTCTTTCTTTCTTTCTTTCTTTCTTTCTTTCTTTCTTTCTTTCATTCATTCTTTCTTTCTTTCTATCATTCTTTCTTTCTTTCGTCCTTTCAACCTTTAGTTCTTCTTTCGTCATTTCTTTTTACGTTCTTTCGTTTTCTTTCTTTCGTTCTTTCTTTCTTTCTTTCTTTCATTCATTCTTTCTTTCTTTCCATCGTTCTTTCTTTCTTTCTTTCGTCCTTTCTTTTTACGTTCTTTCGTTTTCTTACTTTCGTTCTTTCTTTTTACGTTCTTTCTTTCGTTCTTTCGTCCTTTCATCCTTTAATTCTTCTTTCTTTCTTTCTTTTTACGTTATTCCGCTCCTTCTTTTTTTGTTTTTTCGTTCTTTCTTTTTACGTTTCTTCTTTCGTTCTTTCTTTCTTTCGTTCTTTCATTTTACGTTCTTTCTTTCTACGTTCTTTATTTCTCTCTTTCTTTTTACCTTCTTCTTTATTTTATTTTTTCCTCTGCTAATAGTCTTTCTCCTTTCCCTATGCATTCTTCATCTCTTATTCGTTTTCTTCTTCGAACCTTCTTAATCTATCTTTTCCATAATTGGTTATTTATTAATACTTGTATGTCCTCGCCTGCTTTATTTTCCTACAGATCGATTGAAAATTTATTCATTCGACAATGTTCTGAAGCTTCTTTAATATTCCTGAAACTTACAGCTCTGATATAATCAGAAAATACTTAATTCTTCCTCGACTGACCATTTCCTTCCAGCTCCATCTTTGGAATTATTCATCGTTTGCACAATATTATGCACACCTCGGGAAAGTCCTTTTTATTTGCAGCAATCTTTTTGCTTCACCATGTTGTCTCCAGTAACAGACATTTCATCGACGTGTGAGCATATCTTTTCTTTGTTTACAGCATCTAGATTTAGCATTTCTTGCTTTGATAAAGTAGGTAGTTTTGATCTCAAGCTGTCATAGTATTTGGCATCTACATTTATGCCTACAACTAGATTGACGGCAAGGTCTCAGTATTGTACAGTTAAAATGGCGAGATGAAACCGTAACTTCTATGCTAACATTTTCTTATCTCCCTCTTCTCGCTTGTTATTTTCATGTAGCCTTTTGCTTTCCAGTCAGCTTTGATCTTCGGATTTATATATCCTATGTTAATTGTTATCTTGTGTCTTCTTCATTCATGTTATTTTATTGTTCTATTTTCTTTTTCCCATATTCTCACAAACTCAGCAACCACTTGCATTTTAATGGCTTCATTATCTTGATTGGAGTGAAATTATAAATAAATATTATTATGGTTGTCTCAGGCTTGTGCTTATAGTGTTTGTACATGTAGTTTTTATTAATTCTTAATTAAGCTCACTCGATTAATATATGGTGTGTCTTACTGAGGGCGCCATTCAAATCTATATGCTAATGATCATATTGCTATTCTTATCGTTTATAATTCCCTGTCTTTCTGGACATTTTAACTATTTTAATTCGGCTGTCTGTGTTTCCTTTTGCTTACTTTCAGCCAGTCTTTCTATACAGACATCGCCTATATGTTTAATAATTAAAACAAATATACGATCGCAAATCGTTTATATTTTGGAGATTTCTCTCTGGTTTCTTTGGTCGTTTCATTTTACCTTCTAAGATATTACTTTAGTACCTATTTGTACGATCACATTTAAGCTTGAAGACCGACTTTCAAAGCATGTAGGGTATGATTTCGTTTAATTTTGTGCCAAGGATAATCGCTGTTTTTCTTATTGCTCCAATATGATGCCGTATGTGCTTCCTCCCAGATGATGCAGAATAAACATTTCACGCAGTGTCCTTCAGACAAGCCTCGTAAAAGATTGATCTAAGAAAACCGGCCCGCCTCGGGTGTAGTTTCGCAGTTCAAGCGATGACAGTAGCGACCTCATTGCGTGAACACCTTTCTGCAGATAATGTGTAACCCAGCATGAAGAACAAAAAAACATGTATGCCCCCAAAATTCTGTCCTACGCTGTTATTGTTCATCATCAGTGATTTCCCCGATTTAGGCATTTATGATGATGAGGCTACTCCTGTCTCAATAACTGTTGAAGCTTGGATAAGCATGGAATAGTAATAATGCAACACAAAATGTACGTAAACAAAATGTATTGAAAAAAGGAAAAGGTACACAATATTTACAGTTAGTTTTGGTATATTCTTGGGAAGACTGTTCCTGTAGAATGGGTTGACTTAATCGCAGTCGGGCAGAGTCTCTGGATTGGATCTCTTGTTACTTCCCTTCGTCTTCCCGGTACCAACCCATATTTATATGGTCGGTACTCCACTATGTAAATTAGATGGATCGTACCACAACAATAACAAATCCGTCAGAGCTGACAAAGTTAACATGACCGCTGCTCTTGAAAAGGACTTCCAATCTGTAGTTAACTGGGGCATAAAATGCCTCGTAAATTGTAATACCGCCTAAACGAAACTACTCTCATCTAACCAACATAGAGAAAATTTCCTGATTGCCATCAGCATGGGTGATACTTGATTCCTGGAGAGCAGTACACTGAGCTTTCTTAGCCTCACGTTTTCAACTAACCTGAAGTGGAACGACTACATCGAATCAATAGCTGCATCAACTACAAGGAAAGTTGGGTCACTGTGTCGTGCCAAAAGATTTTAAACGTCAGAGTCCATCTTGCATATTTACAAATCTACCGTTCGTCTATGCATTGAATACTGTTGCTGTATCTGTTCTGGTGCTCCTGCTACTCATCTGGAGGTTTTTCACAAAATCCAAAGAAGGATCTCTAATGTAATCGATCCTGATTTGACATCACAACTTCAGTCTCTTTCTCACTCACGTGACGTCGTTTCCCTTTCTGTATTTTCTACAAATATTTTAATGGCAACTGCATCTGATGATCTATTTTCCCTGGGGTGTGGACTATGTGAGTTTAAGCGTGCTACTAGATTGGCATCTAGGTACAACGCTTTTAAAGTTAAATCATTTAAATGTAACCCTCACTTCTACTCCAACAGTTTATTTTCTCACACTTCACACCTGTGGAACTCCCTCCCGTTTCTTTGCTTCCCTAATAACTACAATCTTCAAAAATGTAAATGCAACGTCAATCGCTATCATCTCTCTTCTTGAACCCCATTCAGCTTTTCATCGGTGCTCCCTATATCCAGTATTTTCTTTCACCCCCTGCGTACCAGTAGCATTCCCGCTTTGCTTGCTGGTGAAATGATTAAAAGAAAAGAAAATACTTAAACGACAACCAAAGAGGTATCAAGAGCAGTTTCTCTCAGACATTGAAAAAAAAAAAGAGAATAAGAGACCCAAGGGAAAGTGAAAGGTCTTTGGTCTACACACGTTCAAACCTGCAAATAATAACTGCGAAAAAACGGAGTAAAATAAGATGCAATGTTTAAGAGAGAGACCTTGATACGTGTTTCCTGAAAAAGATTCATTTCATTCAAATATACATTTGATAATCACTAAAGTGGTGTAAGAATAGGTTATCGTCTCATCGGACTTTTTCTACCTATACTGTGAAGCGATTTTGAGAGAATTAGAAGTCATTTCAAGATTAATTTTTGCCGTAATAATTTTAAAAACTGAGAAAATGAAGCTATTCCTTTACTGCTATGTGTTATAGTAAACCTACAGAAGATAATGAATATGCCCCATTCCCATAAATATAGTAGGGAATACTGTACATGGTCTCGAGTTGGAGATTCGTCTCCAGCTGTGCTGGCTTAAGTCTTTGCCTCCGGGCAAACAGGATCCTCTTACAAGACTATGGGCAGAATCTCATCTCAGGAAACAGCTACCTGACCCCGTTTTATACAGGGTAAATGGGGATTTTTTGTCCAAGCCTACTGGCTCGGTTACCCCATATTAAATTTGGACTTGTGCTACATCTGATCGCGTAGGTTAGTTGACAGATATCCGACAGTTTGAGATCCATTTTGGAATTCAGTTAACTCACTTCTAGCAGTTGACGACTTCTGCTACACGCAGCAGGTGAATCTTTTATGTGTTGTTCTTTTCCTAAGTATTATCGTTCATTATCCTATTTAGTAACCTTCCCTAGTTTACAGCACTATGTTTGCCAACTAATTTTCTCCTGATGAAAGAACAGAAGGTCAATAACAATTAGTCCATTTCTGAGAGATCAGGAAGGTCTACCAGGATTCATTATTGATCTCCACCCCCCTGACAACATAAGATATACAGTAATGATTGCAGACACAGAAAGGAAACTACACGAAATCCTACAGAAGGTGATGAAGGAAAGCGAGAAGTGGACTAAACATTAATTGCAAGAAGACATAATGTATAATTGATAGAAAAGGAAAAGCGTAACAGTAGCATTACAATTTGGAGATACCAAAATCCAGCAAGTTAAACAACTTAAATATCTAGCGACAGAAGAGAGAAAACGCAACATTAAAATCTGATGTCGTATTTTGGTAGCGAAAGATACCTTCCAAAAGCTAAGCAGCGTATGAAGAAGGTTGGAGAATTTCGTTAGAAACAAATAAAAGAGTAGTGGAGAGTTACGTAATATCGGCCTCCCTATATAGCCGTGAATGCTAGAAAATCTCCACAGAGATGATGAAGAGACTTGAGGCAGCAGAAATGTTGTTCTACAGTAGGATGCTGAGAATACCATGGACCGACCATGTGTGCAACGGCAAATTTTAAGGGAAAATGGAAATAAGAAAAGTAAACATCAGGAAGAGACAATTAAATTTCAAGCTAAAGTCCAGCGTAACTTAAAATAGATTCCCTTTTACCTCTCGCTAGACTGAACACGATTTTAAGTTGCCATAGATCAAGAGAAAACAGGGTTAATCTTAAATTTCTAAACTCTTATGCTGGTACAATCCAGTAGATTTCTAGATGACACCGACCCTTTTATAGTCGATATGTTCATTCTGAACATTATTTAAATCCCGAATTCCAAACGGATCCAGTATACCTATGCATACATTTGAAACATATCTAGCTATGTTACGTACAAATATTGTTCTCACTTTCTGTAATATTGTGGTACCTGTCCTATAGTAGCAATTTGCTCAACGTTGGAATAGAAAGTCTCTTAGGAAGTCAATATGCAATATCTAGCTACTTTCTCGTATTTTTACATGTACGATATGGTACAAAGGATCTATTTGAACTGCTCGGAAAACTATATCTATTTTAGAAAAGATGCTAAAATAACCACAACTTTTAATGGGAGCAGAACACTTACATACGGATATAGAATGAACTGGGTTGGGGTACACAAATAAATAGAAAAGCGTGTAAAATAATTAGGGATCTTAAGCTAAGGATTTATCCAATCTCTGCGAAGAGGATAGCACAAGATGGAGATCCTACCAGGATTTAGTGTCGCTAGGCATAATCTTAACAATAAAAGGTATTCAGACGATATTGTATTGATTGCTAACAGGGAAAGAAAACTACAAAACCACCACAGTAAGGTGGTCTCCCTGAGCTTTTCTATAAATATTTCTTTGGTAATTGTTCGGAATATCTTTTCGCTATGGTACCTAGAGTATTTGAATTTAAT